AAAAATCTGGAAATAATTTAAGATCAGGAGTCTATATCTTTAATGAATGAGAAAGCGAACAACACGTGTTCGAACTGTCAGAATCAACAACAGGAGATTCGTATAATGTAAACATACAAGTAGACAGATATAAAGACTTGGTCAAATTGTAAGCAAGTCTATAATTAACTCGAGAGATTATAAAAGAAAAAAAAGCGAATAGTAAATTGGACATTGATAATGATGATGATGAGCATGAACAGTAATATGAGCTAGGATAATAGAAAGAAGAAGAAGAAGAAGAAGAAGAATAAGCAAGTAAACGCGTGCCAAATGCCATAAAGGGTATCCGGCTATGTTCGTTAGTCGACCTTTTCTAATTTATATACACGCGAATATAATGATGAACTAAAAGAAAAAAATAAAACTAAAACTAAAAATAAAAGAATTTTTAATCAAACATTATGGAATTCAAATAAAAAAAAATTTTTTTTTTAAGTGCTCGTATCATGAATACAGATAATCTTGGCGTTAGTGGACCAGGTATTGGTGTTACCAATGATCCATATGGTCACCATCATCTTACTCATCCTCATCTTCTTCCACCTCATCATTCACAACATCCATCAACAATTTATTGTTCTTCATCAAATCCTTATACAGAATTATTTTCTCCATTTTCTACTGATTTTATAACACCACACGATACTAGTACAAATACTGGTGTACCAACTGATTATCTTACATTACAAAATTCTCTTGATTATGTTGTTTCACATCATCATAATCATCATCATCATCAACAACAACATCTTCATCAAATGACTAGTTCATCAAATGGAGATCGAACATCATCATCATCTGCTGGTATTAATGGTTCTGATGTATCTCCATCTCATTCATTTGCTACAAGTAGTGGTTATTCATCATCAACTGATTATTATAATAGATCGATACATAATTCTAAAACAGGTCTCAATAATACAAATACATCAAATACAACTAATAACAATAATAATAATAATACATCAACAACAAATACAAATAGTCATAGTCCATATGATAGTACATCAACAGCAACTACATCATCACCACCACAATCAACAGGATATTTAACTTCAGCAGTTAAACAAGAAACAATGATGCCAACTGTATTTGCCATCGATCCGCATAGTAATTATGGTATAAATTAAATTTATTTTCTGTTGTTTTCATTCTAATTTAATTTTCTTTTGTTATTTTTTTGGTGTAATAGGAAATGTTAATGGAACAACATCGGCAACTAGTACTAGTAGCACAAATAATAATAATAATAATAATCCCAATTTTGGTCTCAGTGTTGATGATTATGGTTCGTCATTATATCATCCATCAGCAACTAGTGCTTATTCATCATATTCACCAACGGGTCTTTTACAAACATCTTATCATCCAGTTGTACCTTATGGTGTATCTCATGCCGATCAGATGCGATTATATAATTCACAATTAAAAAATGAGTTTGGGTAAGGATACTTTTTAGTTTTTTAATAGAAATATTGTTGTTTTCTTTTCTTTTTCTTTTTTGATAATTTAGTGTTGATATGCGTTTTAAATTAGTTGGTAATCAACGAGTTTCACCAAATGCTGATGTATCTCCATCACAATTATGTGCTGTTTGTCAAGGTAACTAATTTCTAAACAAATATATATATATATCAATTTTTTTAATGTTTTATTTATTTATATATAGATTCAGCTCAATGTCAGCATTATGGTGTTCGAACTTGTGAAGGTAAGCTAATTATCATTATTATTTTTTTTATCGGTATTTTTTTTTTTGTTTTCTAGGATGCAAAGGATTCTTCAAAGTAAGTTAAACTGTCTACTATAGGATAATCTCTTTCAATCAGATATATAAATAAAAACAAAACAAAAAAAAAATTTATATATGGAAATTTGAACATGATTCGAATTTTTATTGATTTATTTGTTTAGCGAACAGTACAAAAGAATGCTAAATATGTATGTTTGGCAGATAAAAATTGTCCAGTTGATAAACGACGTCGAAATCGATGTCAATATTGTCGATTTCAAACATGTCTTGCTGTTGGCATGGATAAAGAAGGTAAAAATAAAAAAAAAAAAGAAATGTCAAAGGATGCTGTCCGATAAGAAGACTATCCTTCATTTTAAAAAAGTCATCTATATCATTTTGTATAGCAAATCGTGGCACATCGAATGGTATATAGGATATTATTTGCTCATCAAGTTTTAATGTTCTGAGAAGCTCTATGTTAGTTAAAAGATGTTATAGTAATGGTGAGTGATATGACCGAATATTAGGACTTAGCATGTTGACAACACAAACTTACATCAAATTTTATTTAAAGTTTCTTCAATAGAATTTTATCTCGTCTTCAATCGGGTATATCTCATGATACTCAAAACTGATTCTGAAAGCAATGGTGATAAATCATGCAACTTTCTTAGAATTTATGTGTTCCGAAACTGTATAAGTATACGAATTAGAGATAGAAAACTCAATGAATTTTGTGATAAATACTTTTCGAGTGAAAAAAGTTTCTATCTATGAATAATAAGTTCATCATGCCCTATCATTTGACATATATTAATGTTTTCAAAATGGCAAAAAAAAAAATTTTTCACTTTCGCACTCCTAGAGGGAAGTGTGAAGATATGCAAAATTTTATTAATTCGTAAGGAACAAAATAAAATAAAAACTTATCTTTGTAATAGTTCATTCCCGTTCTTCCGCCATGGGTGTGACGACAACAAATTTTTTTCCATTTTCGAAAGATTCCTATACGTCAAATAATAGGGCATGATGGAGTTAATATTAATAAATAGAAACTTTCTTTTTTTTTATCTGAGAAGCAGCATCGAAGAATTTAAACCATCAAAAAAGCTAATAAAAATGCTCAGATCTTGAATACGAAGCAATCTATTGTGAGTATCATGTGATATATATGGTTCAAGACGAAACGAAACTCTGTTGAAGTAACTTTAAATAAAATTTGATATAGGTTGGTCCGGAGATATACTGAGTAGGTCGCTGCGAGTCCAAACCTTAAATTTTTTCCATCAATATCTGTCACCTTTCGTGTATATGAACAAGTAAAGGATCAAGATTTTAACTATTGATTCGTTACTCTCAGAAAAAAAAACTGAACGTACAGTTGTCTTTTGTTGCTGCAGTTCTCATTTGGGGAACAGCGGATCCACAAAAACGCATAACCGGACCCGACAAAATAAATAAAATTATGTACCTAAGCTCGGATCTAAGTTTTACTGGTGTAGGACTTCTCAGAAAATTAAAACTTGATTAAAAAGTAATTTCCTATATGTCATTCGATGAGCCACGAATTGCTCTGCAAAAGCCTTTTAAATGAAGGATAGTCATTTTATCCGTCAGGATCCTTTGACATGATTTTATTTTATTTTTCCGTTTTAGTTGTTCGAACAGATGCATTAAAAGGTCGTCGTGGTCGTCTACCGTCAAAACCAAAAAGTCCTAGTACACGGCAACCAAATAGTTTTCAAACTCAATTTTGTCGTTTCTATAATGATTCCATACCAAATCCGGCCAATCTTGATTTTAGCAAATTGAATGTAAAGTATTCTTTTTTTCGCTTCAAATTGAAATCTATTTAATTATAAGGTTGTTATTTGTTTTTATTTTCATTTTGATATTTAGTATCGAACAGTGACAAATAAAGAAAGTGTATGTGAAGAAAAACTACTTGTTTATGATGCACTTACACGTTCATGCGATATAATCAAGCAATGGGTTGATAAATTTTCATTATTTTATTCTATACAAAATAATGAACGTGATCGTCTTTATTCAAATTGTTTATTAGAACAAATTATATTTCGTACAGCATCACGTCTTGATGGTGATCGTGTTATATTATGTTCAGGTATTGTTGCACATAAAGTACAAATTAATTATTTACTTGGTGATGTTGCACAACAAATTTATGATTATGCATCAACATTAAAACTTCAAAAAATTGATTCAATTATAGCAGCAACACTTGCATCAATTTTATTACTTGATTCAAATAATCCTGGTAAAAAAAGACGGATTTAGTTTTTTTTTGTATTAAAAATAAAGTTTGTTTTTTTTTTCTTCTATTTTTAAGATTATGTTTATCATCAAACACCATTATCATCAACAGTTACTGAACTTTATCAAAAAATAATTGATTCTTTAAAAGATTATTTAAAACAACAACATGAAGATAGTTCTGTTTATTTACAATTATTAGAACGACTTAATGATGTTCGACATATTGCACATAATTTAAGAAAACGTTTATTACTTTATCGACATACAACTGGATTAACAAATTCAATGAATACATTACTTGATTTAGTGTATGTAGAATTTAATTATAAAATAGAAAATTATGAATTATTTATTTTAGACTTGAATGTAAACCAATATCTACTGATTTACAAACAAATGAAGATAATACAACGTTACCATTTATTCAATATGATCTATGACCAATTCTTCATTTTCTTTTGTTTATAGACATATATACACAAGTATTATTTAAATCCATTGCCACCATCACCGATGTTCTTCAGTAGTTATTAAAGTCATACGGGTCACACCTTTCTGTCTTCCATGATCCACGTATACACCCATTTTTGATTGTCTTTCGTTCTTTTCTTTATTGTTGTTGTACAGCAAATTATTAATGATGATGATAATAATAATGACTGAGGGACATGCACACACTCACACACACACACACACATACTGTATTTTGTGTCTTCTATTTCTCTCGGTCTTCCATATAATCCTTTCATCTGCACCATTATCACAACCGATTTGTTCTTATTGCTTGTATACAACCTTTTGTGGTTTTCTCTTTTTGTTTTCCTATTATCTTTGTCATATAAATGGAGACTGCTTTCTTTTTTTTTTCTCTCTTTTTTTTTCTATTAACTATTATGTGCGATGCAAAAAATAAATTCAACAAAATAAAATCTACAAAAATTCGTGTTTATGGTTGTTGTTTTTTTTTCTTGATATTATTTTCAATTATGGATTTTTGAAGTTGATTAAGACGAAGAAGATTAACAAAAGTTTCCTGAAGAAAAAAAGAATTTTTATCATTCTTTTCGTATAATTATATGCTTACATTGTAGAGATGAGGTCTCGTAGTAAGAAATTGTTGCCATACATCAGTATTGAATATCTAATTATAGAAAAAGAGTTAGTGCTATTCTTGTAGATTGTGAATAAAAAAGTCTTTCAGCAACATTATTATTGATTCGTGAGTTTCCATGATTAAAAAGATATTGAAGATATTTCTGTGTTTCTACTTAACGGCTAATATTTGAATTGTAGACTGTCTATACGAGGCACAATATTCAGGTATCTTCTTCATTCCAAACTAGCAAACATTTGTCTAAAATAGTTTTGGATTTATTCTCAAATTTCGAATTAAAATTATGTCTATAGATGCGTTTGATAGTCATGAAAGTTTTAACGCAAACGAACATGTCTTTGTCAAGATATTTAATTTCCAAGTGAACTCGATTGCTTTGTCCTCGTATTGTAACTCACTGTTTGTTTGAATATTTCGAGAACTTCGTTTTTGTTGAAACTTTCAAGACTATCTAATGACTATCAAACATAACTGTAGACATAATTTCAGTTTGGAAATGTTTTTGTCTCACTAAAAATTTCATTAGAACAGTCATAATTCTTCAATAGTAGGTCATAGGTCTGAATCCTTTTAAGCTCGTCTTAGTCTTGCCGAGACCTACTCGTAACTATAATGTGAAGTTGAATAGCGTCTGACAGTTGAATATGTTTCCTCGTCAGACTATATAGCATATCGAGTTGTCTGTAAGTCAATAATATTACCTTGAAGATTTTCATACTAACATATTGATATCTATCTGTCGTATGAATTAAAATGGTTGTATTTTCCGCAGAAACAATGATTTAAAACAGAAAAAATGATTATTTTCTAAACAATTCGATATGCTCTATAATCTGGACAGATCAAACAAAAGTTTTAGTGTCCTACGGGAACGACTCTTCTCAATTCCCGTTTCCGTAATGCTTTCAAAATTGCTATTACGATTTCATTTTTCTCGTTTGAGAAAAACCATCATTACCAGATACTAGTTTCTGTCAAATTTGCGCAACATGAGATGGTCTTAAATAAAAAATAAAATTATCATTCGAAGTACGTTTTAGTAAAATAAATCAATTATTATTTATACGTCGAAATTTATCAACGTTACATTAAGAGAATTATTTCCTTCATCATTTGAACAATTGAAAAGAGAACAAAAAAAAATACTAGCATATCAGCAATACTAATAAAAAAAACGAAATCATTCAAGAGGAGACTGAATAATAGCCTTTTATTTGAAAGAACAAAATTCGGAGAGCACATACATAACAAAACAAAATGATTATTGTTCCTGCAGGACACTAGAAAATTTTGTCAGTCGAGAAAATCACCAAATGAAGACCTAAAGAGATTTCTCACGGTCATATTCAGAATTCGCATTGTTGATAACTTATAATCTAATAACTTTCTTTATTCGAGAGACAAATATTTTTGGTTTTTGCCATGTTTTATGAAGAAGAAAATCTTTTTTTTTTTTGTATCTCATAATATATACCTGTGGATATTCTTGACATAAAAATGTAAGTATACGATTTTTAAGTATTTTCATATGTTTATCATCAGCTAATTGTAATAATTCAAAACAATTTTTTTGTGTTATATGATTTAAACATTTTTTTGTTAATATATTTTTCAAATGAAATAATTCAAATAAATCAGCTGCATTTAATAAATCACGAATTTCATCGATTAAAAATTCTCCAATACATATTTCAATTTCACCAGTATAAATATATTTTAAAATACGTTTAAGATTAATTCCATTAATAAAATCTAGTTGAATTTTATTCATTTGTTGATTTATAGAAATAAATTTAGTAAATTTTTCACATGCTGTATATAGTATAAGACGATGTACATGAAATTCTTGATTATCTGAAGAATAAATAATTATATCAGTAAAAAGTTTGTTCATTGACATAAGCCAATATATATTTCCAATAGATAATTCTATCATAGGATTATAATTATAAAATTTATTAGTATCACCACTTGATATATTTGAATGAAGAGGTTGTTCAAATGATAAATTTTTAATAATTTTATTGTGATAAGACATAGATTGGCAATTATCAATTGTTGATGAACATTCATAGATAATTAATTTGATTGAGAATAGAATATTATTTGATGAAATAGAGAAGATTGTATCATGAGGTAAAATAATCAATGCTCGATTAAAATGTACTTGATGACGACCTTCAGTTTTTAATAGATTTAAAATACCATCATCAGCTATCTCAAATACTATTCTTCAAAGATGAAAAATTCTCGATAAGATTAATACATAAATAATTACCTTGATAGTTAGTTTCAAAAAGTGTTTGAGAAGTTTGTTCATATCCATTTACTTTTAGAATTTCAAATGCACAATATGACTTATCATCTGACGATGATTCTTCTTCACTTGTTGTAATTGAATATTGTGGTAAAGTTTTTAATATATCATGATTTAATATTGGAATGTGAACTGTTTTTTCTGATGATATGACTTTTTTGAAGTGTTCGTTCGTTGTTGTTATTGAGTGTTCAATATTTGATATTGGTTTTAGTAAAATTTCATTGAGTAATTGATTGAAAGATTCTATATATGACAATGAATTTTGATTTTCTTTGTTGTTTATCATATTTCGAAGAGTATTGAATAAATTTTGATGTGCATTATCATCATGTTTTGAAATTTCATTCAATGCACTATTATTATTTACTTTTGTACAACATTCATTATGATCAATAAAACTAAATGAAGGTTTATTCTTTGATGCTTTGGGATAGAAACGAATAATCCACTGTAAAAGTTCATTTTCACCAGTACAACCAAATGAACTGGATTGCAGGTAAAAATCTTGTTTTTGATTATTTAAAGATTGTATATCGGATAAAAACCAACGATGAACAATAATTTGTTCAGTACATATTTTGTATAAATCTTTATTTATTGCTTTTCTATTATCTCTATTTTCTGTAGAATAATTGCTTGAATTAGTTTTCTCTTGATCGTCACTAGAATTTGTTGGTGTCGTAGTACTTTCATCGGTCCACGATTGTGTATAACTCATATAAATGTATTAGAAAAAGATCATGACTTTTTGAAATAACAAAAAACAAAGTATTATTACATAAAAAAAGAATTTAGAAAACAAAAAAAAATAACTTTCAATAGGAATTTTTCTGCTTGTTTTGCATAGTTACGAATAAATTTAAATTAACTCAAACAAAGAAAGAAAGAAAACATATTGGAGAACTTTATATTCGTTTCTTGTTTGTAATACAGGAATGTGAGACAGGTGTGTCTAGATGTTTTGTGAATGCATGTAAGCGTAGGTTGTTTGTTTTTCTTGTATATATGTATGTGTTCGATGCACACTGGCAATTATCACCACGATGATATTTGCCGAAATGTTACCAGTGCATTGGTATATCTATGTATGTATGTATGCAATCGACAACCGTTTTGAATTACAAGAGAGAGAGAGAGAGAACAAAAAAAAAAGAAAGGGCGATTTGGTAGCTCTTTTTTTTTTCGATCATCATCGATCTGCATCGGTAATCATTTTTCTTAAATTTTTGTTTTGCTTCATTTTAATTGTATGGTTATATATGTGTATGTGAAAAGATCACGAGAGAAGCAGAGGAATCGGATGCCGATCTATCAATAATGGCGTCGTCAATGTCATGTCCTTTACCCATGACAAAAGAAATAGTTCTTTGTCGACTCACATCACCCACCAATCAAAGAATGTATATATAAACACATACGCCAATCTTGTCGTTCTTTCCGGTAGTATTGATGTGCTCTCTATACTCATCATCTATCTAGTTACAAATGTTCTTTATTCGATATGACTACAAAGATTGGGAGCATGATGAGAGAGAGAGAGAAAACAGAGAGCAAGAATGAGAGAAAGTTTCACCGACGTTGTCGTCGTGGGTGCCATATCATCATCATCACCATCACAATAACATTGCCTGAAGGTTTCATCTACCACCAGTTGCAACTAATCAGGCTACTTTTGCGTCTCGCGACTGTTGATCTCTATCTCCGACATCTATTCCTTCATTCATCTTCCAACATCTCTTATAGAATGGTATGAGTACTTTGCTTTATTTGTACATTTTGATCGATGCACTGATGATGAAGATGTAACCAACAGAATGAGAAAGAGAGAGAAAGAGAGTGAGACGACAACAGGTGTTACTGTCTGTTATATAGCACTATTATGAAACAAAAAAAGTGTGCGTATGTTGTGCCTATTGTTAGTCAAAAGAAAGAGATACAAATTGCTCAAAATACATATAATGTACATTCTTCTAGAAACGATCAATGTGTGACGAAACAGAAGAAAACTTTGTTGAAGATCCTGATTCTGAAGATGAGACAACAGCTATAACGACAGCAACAACAGAAACATCAACACCAATTAATACAACATCAGTTGTAAAAACTATCGTTAATGGTCGAAAATCTCTACGAACACCTAAATGTGCTCGATGCCGAAATCATGGTGTTGTCTCTTGCCTTAAAGTAATAAATTCATAGGAGATCATAACAATCTTTTTTGGATTCTATTTTCTAGGGTCACAAAAAGTATTGCCGATGGCGTGATTGTACGTGTGCAAGTTGTTTATTAGTTGTGGAGCGGCAACGTATTATGGCTGCACAAGTAGCTCTACGCAGGTATTTTATTTTATGTTGTTAATGAAATACAAAATACATTTCGAAGAAACGAGAAAGTTAAATCTTTAATGTAATTTTTCTTTTTTTTTTGTATATATTTAGACAACAAGCAACAATAAATACAAATAAGACAACAACGATGACAAACAGTAATAAATATAGAAATTCAGCTTTATTTCTTGAACAAAAACGTCTTGCCGTACAAAAAAATTTACGCCAATTACAAGAAAGTTCAATATCACGAGATGTTATTAGAAGTAAGATAATTATTTTATTATGTATTTTATATATCTTATTATTTTTTGAAAAGATCTCAAAGCAAAAAGTCATAAGAATGAAAATAATGGAATTAATCGTTTTTCAACAACTCCAATGTTAAATGATCGATTACGTAAACGTCGTTGTTTTGCTGATAAAGAATTGGATAACATTCCAGCAATATCATCAACATTTGAGACTATGGTGACAAACAGTGCTTTTCGTATGGCTAATCTATCACGTTTTCGTCCACGAGATACATCATTATCATCGTTTCCTTCTGAAAAATCAACACAAAAGAAATGGACTGATTTTTCTGTAGCAGCTATCATTGGTCAGAGTTAATCTATTTTATACTGTTTTATTATATATACATATATCTTTCGAAGAAAAGAAAGGACTATTTTTTGTGTTTATTTCTTGTATTTGAGAAAAAAAGAAAAGTCACAATTATTAGTGAGATCATTTAGTATAAAGAATTGTGAATTTGATATTCTGTTATTATAAATTAATCTATCATTTTGATTATTAATCTCAAAATATGATAACATAATACAAAATAGTATTAAATATTATTTAATAATTATAGATCATACTAACAATATCAATGAATAATGGAAAATGTGTTTTTTTGTTCAAATTGAATTTTTATTTCAATAAGGGAAAAAAATGAAATAACTTTCGATATTTACAGCTGACATTGTGTAATGAAATATTGTTATACAAGTAAGAAGAAATAATGTAAAGAAAAAAGAAATCTTGTTGATAAAACCCATTTGCTAGATGAGTTAATATAAGAAAATAAAGAAGTTGACATTGAAACATTTTTAAATGATCAATCACTTTTGAGTTCGGACTAGAGCCCATCAGATCCAAGAATTTTTAGATTTGGATCCGATGGGTTCTGGTTCGAACTCTGTGCATAAGATAGACCACACTGAGATATAAAAAAACCTGAAAAGGATAAATCCCGTTAAATATTCTATTCAGAGTTATTGGAAGTTTTAGTCTATGATATGCTATATACCAACAAATCGAATGATGGTATTCCAACCTAAGAAGTTATTGACAAGTACCAGTTTGATATATGCATGAGTAGACTGGAATAAATCATTCGTTTTATGGCATAATCGATATATTGAAATATATTAAAACACTTTATATGATTGGTAACGAACAACTTTAGATGCAGTTAGAATAGATTCTTCTACAAGACAACGATCTAAAACATTGTTCCATACTTATAAAGTATAACTTTATTGTAATACAATATGAAGATACTACTTTGATCTAGAGTTCGAATTGGATCGGTCGGTTTTTTTTTAATCAAATTTTAGGGTGATGAAGCCAATCTATTTTGCTTGTTTTTTTTTATAGATTGCCATAGGTTTAAAAATCTAAAAATATGGACTTGAAAATCTCTAACTGATAAAAAATCTCCAGAAATTGAAGTCCATCTAAAGTAAAGATTTTTACTTCGAAATTTCGAGCTTTTTTTTTCGCACTACTTTTCACCGACTATCAACAACTAGCAATGAGTAGTGCTGGCCAGTTCATTCTTTCAAAAAAAAATATATAAGAAAAAATTTCGCTCTATTGAAAAAGTTATGCCAATCACTAGGATCATGCAATTGTAGAAATATCTGCGTATTAAGAAACCTAAATATATGATGTCTAGTACGAATTCATACTTTGTAGGTAGTAATATCCTTCTATGAGTTGAGAAGTCTTCAGTTGTGTTAAATAATTATTTCAAATAAGAATAGATAAAATGTATTAATTTTTGTAAAGAAATCATATTTTTATTAGGAAAAGTCAGGTAAAACAAACTATAGATGTCGTTCAACATCAGTTGTTGTGAATTACTAGATGAAGAGTCTCATTTACACTCAAGGAAATTATCCAAGTCGAATATTACAATCATTATGTGACATTGTATTTAAAGCTTCATAGAATAAGTAGGTGATTAAATAATTGACTAATTAATTATATAGTATATTCAACTAAGATATAAGTAAAGAAAAACTGAAACAAATGTTCATATTTATTATAGTGTTTGTAGACGACAATAAATGTTGATTTTAAATATAAATCTACTAGTTGATCTATTTTGGTAACAAAATATTGTTGATTATAGTCATTCATCTATGTTGCTACTGCATAATACTGATTAGTTTTTGGCTTGAAAACGAATTATTTCTAATTCTTGTTTTGGATTGATGATTATCGCTGCAGATGTTAAATAAATTATTTGTAGAAAAAACAAAAAAATCGTCATACAACTTTTTAGGTATAAATACTCAATGAACCGTATATTGATATAATTATTTCAATATCGTACTATCAATTTAGTAAAAGTGATATATTTAAAGTCTCTAGGAAACAACACAAGGAGATCAATATTAAGATTTTCTAAAAGTTTCCTGAGAATAATAAAACAATACTAGATTTATAAATGCATCAGTTAAATAACTTTGGTTTTGTTTACATAATTCATAACCTTAAGAATGATCATCATCTGAAGTTGTTAACCTTATGTTTTTATAGAATTGAAACAAAATCATATAGAATCATAAATATAATGATATGATTTTTATTTACTAAAAAAAATTAATAACAATATTAAACTATGATGCATTATTAGCATGCATAATATTACGGTTAGTATTCATTGCAGCAACAACTGCATTATAAGGTGGTGGTGGTTGTTCAATAGGTATTGACCAACACATTTGAGAATGATTAAGTTGATGATGATGATGAGGTTGAGCTAAAACAATAACTTGCATGGGAAGTGGTGCAACATGTCGATGAATATGATTTAAGCGTACACAATATACCACTAGAAATATAACGGTAGTTACGACAGCTATACCAATGAATGCAGAATATGAAGCCGAAAAAAACATATCATATGAATTTATGTATACGTTTTAGATAAATAACATTTGAAAAACTTTAGTTGAGTTGACGATGTTGAGTTACAAGAATGAAAGAAAAGAAAAAACTAGAGAGAGAGCAAAGAAAATCTTTTTTTTTCTTACATTTCTTTAATAATAATGCTCGGCAGATGAGTATAAAAATTTCCTGCTTGTAGAAACTTTTGCGCACACTTTAATCATTAGCTCTGATGTCATGTTATTATCGACTAACACACACTCTACTTAGTATGAAAAAAAAATTATCTATTTAAAGTAAAAAAAACATGTTCTCTTCCTTTCTGAAAGAAGCATCAAAAACAAGTCATTTAGTGAACTTAATACTAATATGCAAACATTCATTATAGTTGAAATATTCAACAATTCTTCATTGGTAAAACACAATAAATTTGAAGTTGAAAATCTTTTTTGAATATACAAAAAACAAAACAATTGTTTGTATATTTGATATAATTATTATCTAACAACTATAGCATAGTATTTTTATTTCATCAATTGTTACACTCTCAAAAATTGAATAGTTTTAATGAAAAACGTTTATATGTCTTCTTTGCTTTGCACTGGATCAAAGGAGTCATATCGGATCATGTAGAACAAATACAGATTAAAGTCTTGTTTCCCTTCTTTTATACTCAGTAAATCATGTCTAATCAATTTTGTCTTATTATGTTTTGTTTTTTATACAACTATGTTGATTGAAAATAATGTAGAAAGCGTTATTTTGTTTAATTATGACTTGACTTATTAGTTAAGTTTAAAAATAAAAGTCTTAAGTCATGAGTACTATTCTGATAATCAAAAATATATGATAACAAATGAGAAATAGGAATATGATATATACAGAATAGACTTTTAGCTAATATTTCATAATTTCTGAAGTTTAATATAATCTAAAATTTTTTCTTCAAGATTGAAGCTTTCTCAAACAAACGATAGAAACGTGAATATATTAAAATGCAAACTGCATTGGTGTCCTACTACTGCAAATAATGTAATTACCATTTGTTCATGATTAATGTGCACTGAGAAATTGAATAATAAACATTAGACTCTTTTAATTTGAACAAGAGAATGAAATTTTTTTAATAGGTTCTTTTCATCGACAAGGTTTTCTTTTATCGTTTGGGAAAAATAATAAAAAAAAAAGAAATGATCATCAGCTGATCTAATAATAGGAGCAAAAAGAGACAATGACATATAGATAGACACAAGACACTGAAAGCCCTAAAGCATTGAATGTGTCATGTATATAACTGAAGAAATAAGGATGAAAAAAAATACGAGATAGCCGTATTTACAATCATACGTGATTCCCGATATGAAGAAAAAAAACCAGTGAGCATATCTAATGTAGCAAATGAAAGAAAACAAATAAAGAACGGATAAACATATAAGCATCTGCATAGAAAGATCATCCCTGAAGAAGATAATCAAGAACGACATTTAAATAAAAAAAAAGAAGCACGTCACCGAATTCTTAAAGAACCGGACACGAAAAATAATAAAGATAACTAAACATATCAATCAGTCACAAACAACAACAGTTGTATTTGTTGAACATTCTTCATCTTGTTCTTCTTGTTGTTGTTGATGATGATTATTTCTAATACGTACATGAAGATCGGTATATATCTGTTCAATATATTGCTTTAACATTATATCTCGACTATCTGAGCTTTGTGCAACCTTTACAAAAAACCAAAAATAATTATAGAACTAACAAATAAACGACTTCACCAGATTTAGTGATCTATCTTCAAGCAGGATGCCATATATGTGATTTTGTAGATTAAATTCCGGCGTATCGAATGGTATGTAAGAAAACAAAATTTGTTACAATTTAGATGTGCTATAGTTATAATGCTTGGAAAATATTATAGGATACTCATAGATATTATAATCCATAGGATATTCTAAGACAAACTTGTACAACTTTTTTTAAAAACATAATTCGTTACAGTTATATGTGGTCTTCAATTTTCTATACTCAATAGCTTTCATCGTTGCTTACTTCATGTCTAACAATGGTCTATTTTCTTAGATATAGTCTATTTCTTGACGACATGATATTCCAGTGTGTTCAATTTTGTGCCACACAACGAGTACCAGTGTGGAACTCACTAGAAAATTGCACACTATCGAGTTCTATATATTTTACATATAACATCTTTCGGAAAAGGAAGGACTCATTATCAACTTGCAACATTGTTTCCTATGACAGTGTATTTTCTTAAATGAAGAGACCAGTATATTGATGATATTTTAACAATACTCAACAATTCTATTAAAACTTTTTATATACAAATAATCGACAGAATATGCACAGAGTTAAACACACTGAAATATTATGTAGGCAAAAAACAATCTAGACCTAAGAAAATGGACCATTTTTAGGCATGAAGTAAGCAATGATGAAAACTATTAATTATAGAAAATCCAAGAGCACTTATAACTGCGTCAAATTGCGTTTAAAAACTAATTGTATAAGTTTGTTTTACGTGGAAAGTACCCGAAGTGATTAACCACTGTTGGGCACATAGAAGGAGCTTCTAGACTAGAATAATCCTAAAAGGATTCGAGTCCACGATCCTTATGAGCTGAGATATTGAGTTGTCAAGTTCCAACGGATAAGAAGGATTTCGATCCTCTACTGCGATTATCTTGAAAACAAAAATGTGCTGTTAACTAAAAATTCCATGATAAATTGACTGTGTCATCAGCAAATTAGTGTGAAATTTCCAGATTTTATCTTATTCCTATAAGCCAGTGTTTTTTTTTATTGCATCAACCATCATCACAGAGGTAGTGGTTCACGAATGAGGCGAGATGACGTTTTCCGTCTATAAGCTCCATCGAAACCTCTTCTGATCTCGGGCTATTAGTCTGGTCAACGAGACTCAAAGATATACTCCGCTGTCCAAAGATGTAAGAGACTAGAAAAACTAACTCACACTGCGTCACGCATTCAACCACTTGACGTCTATTCCAACAAACAATGAAAGTTGTTCGCTTGGCGTATATCCGATCACATTCAACTTAACAATATCGCCATTAACTTATCTGAACGAAACAATATAATACAATTGAATTTTCTTATGAATAATTAGTTGTCCTCGCCTCAATTCGTACCTATAATCAAGTATGCATGGTTCGCATCAGGATATATCGATCAGTATCCAGGAGATTTTGAGTCTGTCAACGAAGTTTGCTTCAACGTTAATGCTGATGTTTGCTAACAATCGAACTGTCGCTTATTATGCTTTATTCAATGTAGTCATTGTCACTAGGTACTCTGCTTTGAACATTTCTTTGAAGCTTATCAATATCATAATTAGATGTCTGTTGTCTTCCAGTATGATGTTATAACTTTTTAAAAAGTGATATCTATAAAATTTTATTTTGTTCTGCCTAGGATTTTCAAGAAAACGACTGTGGCTTATAAAAGTGAGATAAAATTTGGAAATTTCACAGTAGTTTGTTGATGATGCAGCCAGCTCACCATTGAAATTCTAGTTAACAGCACATTTTTATTTTCAAGATAATCACAATCGAGGATCAAAATCCTTTTTATCTTCTGGAACTTGAAAATTTACTATCTCAGCTCATAAGAACCATGGACCCGAACTCTTTTAGGATTATTCTAGTCTAGAGGTCTCCTCTATATGCTCAAAAGTGGCTAATCACTTCGGGTATTTGCCTCGCTAAAATATCTTATGGATAACAATGTCTATGAGTACCCTATAATATCCTCCAAGTATTACGGCCAGTACATGAACCCTTAGCACATCAAAGTTTTCATAGATCTTGGTTTCTTGTATACCGTTCAATGTGCCGAAATTTGCTCTATAAAACTACATAGATGGCATCCTGGTTAACGATAGATCACCGAATCCGGCAGGATCTTTTATTTACCGATGAATAGAGATTCTCTAATTCATTAAGACGTTTATGAAGATCATCAACAAGATGATTAATAACTGACATACGATGATCATTTATAGTTGAATCACTAAAATGAAATATATTAAATAAGGAAAAAAAACAATAACACGAATATTTTTTTTTATGATTTACTCTTGCTTTGTATTATTGATTGTTGTTTTGGATAAGGATGATGATGAAATTTTATGTATTTGTTTTATTTGTCTATAATCTGGTATTGATACACTTCGTCGTACTTTAAGTTCTTTTTGATTATTATTATTATTATCATTTAATGTGCATGCTTGTAAATCACTTGTTGTTTCTAATGAATCTGAACTTTCAATTGAACATGTACTTGACGATCTTTTTGTTGGTTTATTTGGTGATGATGGTATATCATGTAAAAGTAAAGGTTTTAAACCAAGTACAACTGTTCGATAGAAACAATCTTGTGCCCATTTTGGCATAAGATCATTTGTTGTATTATCTAATTCTCGTAATGGTAAAACAGATTCTTGTAATGAAGATGTTGGATGAATAAATTGTTTTGTTTCATGATTTTCTTTTGTTTGATTATTTTTTGTTGGTGATGAACTATTCGATGATGTTGATGACGATGATGATGATGAAGATGATGATTGTATAGCAGATGCTGTTGGTAAATTAGGTGGACGTCGAGGAACACGAGAGATTTTTACTCGACGAAATGTTGTAGTTTTTGATTGTTGCATTGTTGTTGTAGGTAGAATAAGATTTTGAGTTGAACGAGATTTTGTCATATTTTTATTTGTTGATATCGAACGTGTATCTAATGAAACAACAGATGGAATACGACGTGTTTGAGAATTCATAACTAATGATGTAGTTGATGATGATGATGGTACAAACATAGGTACTGATGGTGGTATACCTTCTCGAAGTTTACTCATTGAACTTGATGTATGTGCTGCATATGATGGTAAATAGGAATGAGATGATGATGATGATGTTGTATCACCAGTAACATTGTTAAGTGAAAGAGTTGATGAATGAAAACGATCTTCTGA